GCAAAACCAGCCACAAATGTAGAATGTTGATTATCATTCTCCAACATTATGTGACTGAAGGCACGACTTTGACTTGGTATAAAGCTTAACAGCCAGTAAGCCACCAATTCACTCAGCTCCTATATGAGGTAAAATCTGTCTACCTAGTAACCTCACTCTGAACTTTATGCTGCACAAAAGTCCTATGGGGGAAAAAAATCTATTACAGAAGGGTGCCAACTCGCACCTTTAGCTCCACACTGGCAACCAGGCTTTCCATTAATAGTCCCCTAATTTTAAAAGAGAACATTTTATGCTTGGAAATACAACAAGCCCTGAGAGCATTCTTCTACACAAACCCGTCAATGTGTACCAATGAATAAGAAAATGTCTTGCATCAACACTCTCCAGTAAGTTATCAAAACACCCTGAAATATTATAACTGTGGATTTTCATGCAACTCTCAGAGCAGCAGCAGACCCGAAGCTGTTGAAAGCACTGGCTTCAGAGTCAGGCCGTCATCATCGGCTCAGCGGGTGCAACTGCAGGCCCCACAAACTAGGAAGTGCCTTGCAGAGGCCTGTGCACTAGGGGCTGCTCTGTGCTGCAGGTGTGTCGGCTGCAATGCACTGCAGCTCACAAAGACACTGAGAAGAGAAGGGAGGAGACCCTTAGCACGGGGTATAGAAGAAGCAAGAACCCAATTAGAGACACTTGTTTTTGGTTTTGTCTTGATGATGTTAACAAAAATAAAGCAAAATGAAATTACAATGCGAATTTACTCCTTGTTTCTGGGGAAATAGGATCTGTAGTTCTAAACAAAACCATTCTCAAAGTGCCTACTACCTATAGAGGATTGTTTAAAAAACAAAAACAACAACAAAAGTTAATTCTCATTGAGGATTCACAAGCAAAAGAGGGGTGAGTTAAACTGCTGTCAAAATGAACAGCTGTTCTTCAGAGAAGCTACAAGATACTTAAAATTTTCCCCTTTGGTCTACATGGCTTGAGGCAGCAGGCTGGAACAGATGTTCCCTTTTCAGCTATTGTAAGGAGGCTCACATAGAGGGGAAGAAAAACCCTGAAGAGTTGTATCTATACAAATTAGTTGTGAGGTCCTCGGAACATTTATGAGAGATTGACTTACTCAAAGGTACAGTAAAAGGTTTTGGATAGTCAGCCTTTAGTTGAGAAAGTTTAAATCCTGAGACAATCCTAAATTATACACATTTCTGTATAAATAATTTATAATCCAAGTTAGTATTAAAAGAAAACCTGGGAAAGTTTTTATTTGGGGGGGGGTCAAGGGTTAGGTTTCAAGACAGTCTGGTTTGCCACAGCTCTAGTAATTTATACATTTAATAGGCTTTAACACAGTTGAGCCAGGTATGGTAGAGACTCTGGAGCCAGCCAGTCCTGGTTAAAATCTTGGTCCCTTGGTTACTTATGTAATGAGGAAAGGTAGTATCTCTCTGTGTCTGTTTTCTCATCTGTAAAATGGGAACAGCAATATATATATATATATAAAATGTACCAAAACTGTATTTGCACTGAGGGCTGAATAAGTGAATATAACACCAGATACATGGTTTGGAATATACATACATAGTAGCTACAAAGTAGGCAGAAACAGATCCAATCAGAGAAAGCCAAGTAAGAGCAGAGATCAAAAGGGTAAGTACAGCAATTTAGCCAGGCAAATACAGAAGGCTCACTTCAGGGATAAGAAATAGTATGGACAGTGGCTCAGCTGACAGAAAACCTGTGGAAAACTGGTGTCATGTCATGAGGTGGCTAGTGTGGAAGGCGTGGCCCACCTCTCCATGTGATACAAAATGGAAGTTCCTCATGTAGTAAAACTTGTTATTCATGAGCGGACCATAGCCTACATAATAATGGATACAGTAACAATATAAGTTTAAAATGTTATTTTAAAATGAACTCCCAGAACATGAATTATAATACACTAAAACTCTACATATGTAGCTAAAGGCCTACTGTTCTTGTACTGACACATTCAAGTTAACTTGATTTGCAAAGTTCAATAATACAGAAGAGCAAACTCCTAAGAAATTATAAGACATTTAATTACCAATAGCTTTTGCCAAAATTAACACTTGATTTTCAAAGAATAATATTTTGTCTAAAACCCAAGCCATATAATCATATTGACCTCATTTCCCCCCAAAGATGGAAAAGAATAAAATACCATGTCAAAAATCTCCATCTATACATAGCCATCTCTCCAGTCTTCGCTACACCTCTTCTTTCTTTTATAATGCTTCCTGGGATCACAACCAGCGTACACTACCACTGAGCAGTATGCCCAACTCTTTGTTTATTTTAAATTTTGACAAGGTCTCACTCGGTTGCCCCAGGTAGCTTTGATCTCATGACCCTTTGCCTCAGCCTCCTGAGTAGCTGCGATAATAGGCACAGACTCACCAAAGCTGGCTTTGCTTATTATTATTATTATTATTATTATTATTCTAAAGAATTTTTTATATCTTTATTTAATTTTACTAGGTTTTAAAATTTTTGCCCTGTAAAGTTTCACATAGCATAGTGTGCCCTTGAATGTGTGATATGAGCCACTCCTGGGACACATAGGAAATGCAGAGTGGGCAAAGCAGAGCCTTCACTCTGCCCCCTACTTTCTGCACCATTCTGTCTTGCAGACGCTTATGCCCATACCTACTGCCAGGTAGCAGAAATGTCAAGTTACCCACAGAATGCCCCAATGCTATGCAATCCTTCTCAATTTTGGGAAAATAAGGAATCTAAGCTGGATTGAAATTCCAAGTGAGTCACTTGCAAACAATACAGCTTTGATCTCCTTTGTTAACTGTCTAGTAGTCAGTGTTCTTATCTGTAAAATGGAACACGAACTCCAGAATACTGGGGGCCACCTGACATAACATTTAAGGAGTGCAGACCCTGATTAAAAAAAAACAAACAAACAAACAACAACAAATGGGATCAAATTCTAGCGGCATCATTTTGCATCAATATGACATGGAGCTAGGTATGCTCTCTCCCTGTGTCTCACTCTCTTCATCTTTATGCTAACAGTGACACACTGTAGCACAGTAACTTAAAAGTATTTACACACTCTTGTGAGGAAGGAAACACACTGGCGATTGACTGAGACAAAGGTGAGTCACTTAGACTTCCTAGTTTATAAAAAATACTGCATATCTGAAGGGTATTACTGCATATATCTGTTTCCTATTTGTTAGGGATGTTAGGGGTCTCCAAGCCCACCTTTAGTGTGCTGATTAGCTGGGAGGACTCATAGAACTCAGGAAAGCCATTAGAGTCATCACTGTGATTTACTACAGTGACACAATACAGATTAAAATCAATAAAGGAAAAAACTGCACTGGGCAGAGGCCAAGATAAACCAGGTGCAAAGCTGCAGCTGTCCTCTCCCAAAGGAGCCCAACAGTGCTTCACGAGCACAGGATAACAGGGGACACCACACATGAGGGAAGTACAGTCCTGCCAATGCAGGAAGCTCACTTGAGCCCGGTTTGCAGGAAGGGCCAAGGCTTGGCTGCGTCGCTGGTCCTGAGCTCCTGGCCTCCAGTCCCCGAAAAGGCTGAAATGACATAGAGGAGCCCAGGGCACCACGTATTGAAAACTAGGTGGGTATCATAAACTGTACTGTGTGAGCATGATCAAGGCTCCGGGTATGCAGAGACACCCTTGTCAAGCAGAGTACTGCCAGGTTTAGCGGTGCTCCTACAGCAGCCAGTGAGGGCCAGGAATATGAAATTACTGCATACTCCACCCCAACTGAACTAATGCATTACTATATAATAATTTGCAGAGCAACTGTGGTGTGTCAGAGCCATGATAAACATTTAAATACAGTAACTCACAGTATATACACACTCTTATAGGGAAGGAAATACCATTTTTAAAAATATGGATACTGCTAGAGCAAGGCTTAGAAAGGCTATATTAGTATTTATAGCCATATGACCAGTATGGAATCCAAAAGTAGCTCTCTGACCTTCAACATTTTATAGAACATGACATGTAACGCTACATCATAAATATACAAGTTCATACCTGATAGTGAAAAAAATAAAGAAACACTGACTTTGTGCAGAAAATGAAAGAGATCTGTGAGTAAATGTGTTTATTATAGGACAGTGTTTTAAAATTGTAGGTTTTTATTCAAAAACTATTCGTTACTATGCGATTATAACAAAGTCCAACAAAGTCAACAGTGAAGTTTTCCTGAGATTAAAGAGAATCACCTCTTTAAATTTAATCTTTTTATACCTCAAAACTTTTAAATCCTCGTGAACATTTGCTTAAATACAGAAATTATTTACCCACTTATTAAGAATAACAATTTTTTTCCTTGTGAAAGTGTATCACCAGTTTCCCTAGGGAGGCAACAATGCCTTCTCAATTTAATATGTGTGTGGGTTTTTTTTTCCCTCATCTAATAAGCTAATACTTTTCAAAAGATCTTTTTAATGCCTAAATGAAAGGATTCCACATCAAAGACCTGACCTCACTATTAAAGTATCTAAAGGAAACCATAGGAATGCAAAATCTATTCAAAAGAAAAATCGCAGGTAGCTTATTGTACAGTGCATTAAGAAATGAAAAGGAAAAAAAAAGCTTCATAAGAGCTGCATGGAATTTGGTAAAATTATACCACAAAAATACAAATCGACCTAAGTATAAAGAAACAAATTTCATAACCAAAAACTAACTCCAAAAGTGCTCTGTAATCAGCCAGGAGGGAGTCTCTATGAAAAACTTCAGAATTTGTCAGTTTTTCAATCAAAATTTTTGATTACATCTTAATGTGGGAAAGGCCAAAAGGAGAAAAACCACACATTTTTCAATAGATCTAAAATCTGAGATTTTTAAAGCTAACTTTCAACATCAGAAAAGACCAAGTTTTATTACAGAGACAAGAGTAGAATGAAGTAATGAAATTTTTAAAAATATCAGATAAAAGCTTTATAAAATAAATTAAAATGTTTTTATCATACCATGAATGCAGTTCTGAAGTTACTCAAGTCAGTAAAAAAGTCTTCCACAGACACCTTCTTCATATCAATGGCATAATATTCCATTATGCTCTGGTACAATTTCTCCATGTTTCCAAGTAACTTTGAAAGCTTCTCATATTGTTCTTTTGCATTCTTAACAAAGCTGTATATTATAGTTAAGGTATTCTGAAATTTATAAAGTAATGCTTTAAGAAAAAAAATTGTAACTCTAATATTTTAGTCTAATTTTTATTTACTATTACCAGATCAATAAAATTTCAAAATTAACTCTATTACTCATTCTTTCAAGAAAATCTATACAGTAAGCAAAAAATTTCCTATTCAGTTTTTAACTTGGAAAATTATCAGAAAATTTAACTATTTCAACTGTCATACTTCTCTGAGTAATTGAGTTCAAAACTGTTTTTAAAAAGTCCCTTCTAATTTACCGTGCAATAATTTACAACATGCAGACATGGAGTAATTGGAATAATATTGGTATCAACAATGCCTGCATTGAATACAAGAGTTAAGCTATACATTAGGTCAATTTACAGCTCCTATTCTTGGTTGCAATGTAACTATGGACAAGAATTTCATCTCTTTGCTTTGACTTTCTCATGTGAAAAACTGTAATAATAATACCAGTGCTATTGTGGGAGTTACTATACTAGCAAGGTACTTAAAAAAGTAACGTCACATGTAGATATAAATACTAGGCATTATTATTGAGTCATTCTAAGTTTCACTTAGAGTTCTAAAAGCAGTACTTTCTAATGAATGAATTTAAACTTTTCTATGCTATATGTAAAATAATGTCTCAAAATCCTGGAAAACTTGTACCTAATTCTTCCCAGGTATTATATCATTAAAAGTTATGCTTCCACACACAGGTAAGTACAAAAGAAATGTCTCACAACAACTAAATTCAAAGCACACTGAAATTTAGTAATTTAATGTGAATGTGACAGTCACTAGCAGTAGAAAACATTGTCTAAAAAACTATAGAATGTCTTGCAATAAATTATGGATGCAGTCAGATGTAAAATCTCCAACCATATTCAGAAATGATGATTTGTTATAATTATTTATGGCTCCTCTAAATTAGTGCCTATAAAGAGAGGGAACATACAATGGTAAATTTATTTATAAAATCCATCTTTTCTTCGATGAAGGCAACTGTGTGAACAGACATTTAAAACAAATATATTTGAAACAAATAAATGAAATTCAGCTATGAGAAGGAAACAAAAACTGTAATGTTTATCTAAAAAAACAAATTCAAGAAAGATGTGTTTCCCCTAGATAGAGCTTTTCTCAGGTGAGGACAACACAAACAAAGTGAGGCAGACCCTTAGTTTTGAGAAAGAAAACAATAAACAACAACAACAACAACAACAAAAAATCAATGAAAAATGAGATACTGGGTGCCAGGTTCCTAGGGAATCTAAGACACACGACAAAATTGTCATAATTAGAACCTATTCTCCCACAGACACTAAGGCACCACAGTAAATCACAACTCACCTGTTCACATGGCTGTCCTTATTCCTGTATTCCTCGTGCTTTTCAACTGTGATCTGCTTAGTGGGATAAGTAGCATTTTGGTGGGGAAATCATAGAAGGAACTGACTCTACAGTCAGAGTTTAATGATTCTTAAGAAACTGTATAGTTTGTTTGACTCAGTTTATATTCAACTGAACAGCAAAATGCTTTTCTGTACTTTCTAGAATACAGATCTTAATAGTGCCAGTATCTGATGCATTTACATATGATATCACTTTGTAATTCTTGGATGAGTAACAAGACATTTTGAATAATGAGTCAAATCAGAAAAAATCATAAGAAATCATAGGAGCAAACCAGACAGGTTTCCTCACATGACATCAATATTCATGAACTATTATAAGTAAAGTAAATTTATATAAATAAGGATCATATCTTAAATGCACTCAAAAACTATCATTTAATAGAATATTTGGTTGGTTATTTATCTATTTATTTATTTGTGGAACCGGAGATTGAACTCAGGCCCTTGTGCTTGCCAGGGAAGCAATTATTCCACTGAGCCATCTCCCCAACCCCTGGTTATTTATTAACAAAGTGAAATAATCATGCACAAGTAATCATCCCCAAAATTAGCAAAGATTTTTATAATGGAATACTTAATCAATAAGCTACTGCCTAAAATTATTTATATCCCATCAAAATATGTATCTACATGGTTTATTTGTACATTTTTCACTACCTAAAAAAGTAATGTATTTTTGCCTTGTGTGGTCCAAATAATCAATGAATCAATCAATCAAGAATTTCTTCAATTCTTCTTCTACTATGATGTCTTCCTCTCACTTTCATAGATGCAATTATCTGTTTCTGTGAAATATAGCATTTGTAGACCTTTGCATTTATGTGGAAAATCGTCAGGCATATTCCTAATCCTATGAGTATAACCTTCTATTTTAATTCTTTAGTGTAGCTTTGCTCTTGCTACAATTTCTGACAAATGCCATCATTTCTTGCTATCGGTCTATTCCCTATCTCATTAATTGTATAAAGTCTAGTCATGTGCAATGACATTACTGTCAGTTACTTATTTCACTCTAATACTACTGTTCTTAAACTCTGGTGGAGAGGGTAACAGGTATTCTTAAAAGTGGTCTGATGAAAGACCATGGAACTTTTCATCAAATTTCACATATATATGTGTATGGACACAAATACATCCAGTATCATGCAAACAGCTAGCAGAGTCTCTGAAAACTGTTTATCCTGAACAACAGTTTATAAACACTATTGGTAAGTACCACTACTCTACCCTATCAGTGCTTTTAAGGCTTTGGGTTTTAATAACAAGGCACTTAACAAATGTAGTAATTTTATCCTAACACCTGGGAACACACACATTCACAAAGAGTCAGTTAGCAAACAAGTTAAAATAAAGCAATGACGTTAAAAAAATATACTTTTAGGTAGGAATCTTAAGTAATGAAACATCAGAAATAGGTCTGTGCATTCTTATAAAAGTAGTACAACTCTATTAAAAGATGTGATGGAAAAGATGACCAAGAGCCAGAACTATGGAAATGACTTTATGCTAACAGCTGGAGAGCTTTAAGTTAATTTTGCTATCATTATCATGAATAAAACAATTTGCTTCCAAAGGAAATGAGGTGGCGCTCTGAATAACTGGAATTACCTAGAAGAATGGCAAAACTGTGATTAAACTGAAACAATTTTGGAAATAGTCAAGTTCATCCTTCAACGTCCAAAATGATTTCTTGATAGGATGGAAAAACAGTACATGGAGAAGACACACTACATTGGCATTGATGGTCTAATCTTTCACCACCAATGGGGAAATATCCAGATAAAGAATCACCACCAACTAAAAGAGAAAACAACAAAGCTGTCCTGGTGCCAAGTGCTGCAGTGAATAGTAGGTACTCTTTAATTATTGTTTTCACCGCACCAAGTTCTATTTTTGTAATGAGCATCAGAAAAATGTGAGAGGCTCAACAAAGCAAGCATTTCATAAAACTCATTGTAAAAAAAATGTTCTGAGGAATCTATTTTCTCTTCCTTTCCCTATATCCAAAGTAAAGACAAATTCTCATGATTTCCACCTGCCTGTAATAATGCCATTGGGAAGATATATGATGGCAGATCTGCGCTCACATGCATTGAGCATGACTTGCACTTGGTGCTCCCCTCCTGGTTTGCCAACAGAATAGCACTGATGCTGAAACGACCTACCACAAATATCCCATCAGGACATGTATCTACATGTACAGTACATTCTTCACTCCTACCTAAAAAAGTAATGTATTTTTGCCTTGTGTGGTCCAAACAATCAATCAATCAATCAATCAATCAAGAATTTCTTCAATTCTTCTACCACAAATAAGTTCCACATATACCATATTCTATTTATTTATAAGTATGTGGTACAGAGTGTCACTACACACCTTGGACTCCTCCTGCTTTCAGCCTCCCCAGCACCGGGATCACAAGCATGAGACACCATGCCCAGTCTCAGTGGCTGGTTCAGCATGCCTGGGGCCGGGGATGGCATGGATTATGCTGCCAGGGATCAAACTCTGGCCCCTGCACTTGCCTAAGCAAATGCTTAGACCGCTCAGCTGTCTGGCCTGCCCCATTATCTTCACTGATATCCTCGTTATTTTAATTATTCTATCAGAGGTATTTATTTCTTCTATCATTATACCTTATGAAGACCAACTTTAAACAGTCTTATATGTTTAATAACTTTGACGAGACCTTCTTGATACTTCAGGTGCAGCTTTCTATTCAGTAAGTATTGATTATATGCAGAATATTCTTCCAGGAATTAAAAAATGCTAGTTAAAAAGATAAAGTCCCTGTGTCCATAATATACACATCCTAGAATGGAATCCCAGTAAATAATCCTACATTCTCATCCTAATAGATAAGTAAATAGTAGGTAAATAAATCCTAAGTTATTGACATCATACAGAGTATGAGGGAAGCTAAAACGAAATAGATACTCATGGAAGCTTCGTTAAAAAGGTAGGACTGCTACAAGTGAAGCCTGAGATAAAAGAGTAGAGAGCACTCTTTTGTACAGCATGCTCTAGTCACTGTGAAATACTGTTGTAGGTGGAGGACTCAGAAAGGATCAGGTGGGTACTGATCCTTTTAAGCCAAATCTTAAAAGGTTACTAAGAATGGGTCAAGAGGAAGAGAAATAAGAAAAAAAGAGAAAAGGAAGGGAAGAGAAGCACAAAAGTAGCTCAAGAGAACAAAACTCTACCACAATAAAACAATTCCCAACTTTGCACTCTTGCAACTGGGCCGTGTATTTATTACACAGTATTACATCTCACCTGTTCTAATTTTCTATTTTTTACTTCCAAGTCACAAATAGGTTCCAGAGTTCTCAGCCACAGTTCAATTTAAAAAAAATTTTTTTTTTAAATTCTTTTACCTGCAAAAAGTTAGTTTATACACTCATAAGTCATTCCATAAATTTACTGGGATGATTCTAACATTTAATCTCCTAAATGCCTAAAGCAGCTATATAGTAGAATAACTAAAAGAATGTGTGAAAATAAAGTGGGATTTCAATGAAGTAACAAAATACAAGTAAGTCATAATACGCCACATAAGTTGTGACCAATATAAAAATACATAAATATCTAGCAAAATATTTTTTTCTGAAAGATTCAAGAGGACAAAGAAATGCTTATGAAAGGAGAATTTCAAGGTCATGTTTTTCCCTTAAAATATGAAAAATTACAAAATTTAGTGGTCAAATAAGAGGAACAGACAATGCATGATATAAAGCCTGTTTTTTTCCTTAAGTTTCACACTGATAAAGAATTTAGTAAGCATATTATTGCACATATAACTGTTTACATGTGACAATACTGGTGATCCAACTCTGACTACAAGCTACACAGTTTTCAAGTAAATATTTACTGTGGAACTATTCAACCCTAATTACAGTTCTAACCAGGCTTAGCAACTGGAAAATAATTATTATTATGAAAAAGTCAATGATATATGAAATAGCTGAGTGTGCCTTTTAAATGTAATAAATTCATAATTTTATAGTATGAAGTAGATGTAAGGAATGAGCATGAACTGGAAGAATAAAAACATAATATACTATAATTGAATGCTATTAGTGAGATTTCATTATAACAAAGTGTACATTTATAACTTAAAGCAGCAGATTACTTGATAGTTCACTAAATCATGGTTGTTTAATATAAATATGTACTTGTAAAAATGTATCTTTAGCTAAATAATGCAGATATTCTTTGAGAAGCGGCTAATGAACTAAGCATTTAATACGTGTTTCAACTAATAACCAGTTAAATATAAAATATAAACAATGTTTGAGTGTTAATAACTAGCTTTAGTTATTATTTTTTAGTCACTGAATTTTAGCTTCCAAAGTCTTCCATTTTCTAAGATCTAAGAGGCTCACAATTTGCCATTTTAATAAGAGCTGCAGAAATGCATTTAATATTCAAAATCTGACTTGTTGTCAGTCCTAATTAAAGTAAACAAAGTCTTACAATGAATGAATTTAATTACTTTGAAACTAGTATGTCTAAGATGAAAAGCAAACGAGTGCAATCTAATCTCAGCGAAGAATATTTATGATTATAAGCTTTGTCAATAGCAAAGCGCACCAACTGTTCATATATCTGACTTCCAAGAGATACATGAATGCTAATCAGTTCATTAGAGGCGTCTAGGTTGTGATATTTAGCGACAGGATATAGTAGCTTTCTAGTCCATGGAGTGTAATTGTACTAAGAATGAAAAATTATTTCCAACAAAGCAACATCCTTCCTGTTTCTGATTTCCTGCTGGCTGCTTTTTATGAGTTGCATACCTTTCAAGAAGCCGACATCATTCAGCTTCTCATGTCCTGTGAATACAAGTACAGATATGGCCTGAGATTATATGTGGAGCCGAATTCTGCAACCTTTGCTCCAACCTCAGAACTCATGTTAGTGAGACAAACCTGAGCTTCATAATTACTGTCCTCAAGAGTGTAATATCAAAAGCTGTATGTAGGCAAAAATCTTTCCTAAAAATGTCTTCTATCTGTAGGAAATAATAACAAGTGCTTACATTAATAATACTTAATGATAACATGATAAAATGAGAGAAAAGGCTAAGAATGATGAAACTGATCTAACTATACAATAACATATTTATTTTTTAAAATAACATACTTTGTTAAATGAGTATGTAATGAAAAATATATTTTTGCTGGATAAAGATAGACTTTTTAGTTTAAGAAGGAAAAAAAGAAAACAAACCTAACTTAGTATAGTGATAAAGGCACCCTACCCAATAAGGAACTAGATGGGCAGAAAACATACAGAAGAAACAAACAAAAATACTAGAGTACATTTTTACTTCCCAATAGACAGTGAAGGAAGTTAAAACTGAACTAATTCATAATTAAGAGAAAAGCATATCTATGACAAGCAAAATAATAACTTTGTGATTCACTAAATTTCAAAGAAGATGAAAAGTCATTTTATTGCAAGTACTTCAGTTTAGTAAATTAGGAGTTACTATTTATAAAAGCTCATTTTAGAAATGTGTTATCCTTTTCTATAGAATTTAGATGCCCATATGGGATTTTAATAATGCATTGTAATAACACTTCATTGCAAAACAAAACATATCAATCTCTATATTCACACAATGGCTTGTACAGCAATTCAACATTAATTTCAGAAAATTAAAAAGAGTTTATTACTTTATTAGAGATTAAGCTGCAAAGTTAATAATAAAAAGGCAAGTGAATATAAAGAAACCTTTAAATCAAACAGTACACAAGTCACTTGATATTTATTTATATATGTATTTCTTAGTTTTATTTGGGGTTAGAAAACACAAACACAAGTAGCGATTATATTAGTCTCAATTTTGATTTTGGAGCCATGTTCTATATTCATGGTGTATGAGTTAATTTCTAATAGATATCAACCCTTATAATGGGCTAATCACATTGTAAATTTTTGAATTCTAAATTTGTTTCCTGAAATATTCCAAAAGTATCGAATTCTCACCATGATTTTATGCACAAACTTCCTCAAACTGAGTTTTAATATCCTTTGTCATGAACATCGAAGGAAACAGGCATATGGAAGGCAAAAGATGGGAGAACATACTATTATCCAAGGAGATTTTTCAAAAAAGAATAAAAACCAATAGAAATAAATAACACTTTAATTTCCCTGCTAGAAGGCAAAGGTTAAAGTTTATATAATTTGGCACTACAGAATGATCTCTGGTTATGCAAATACACTTAAAATAATAAATTATAAAATGAGTTGACTAGTGACTTAAGCTATTTAGATATCAAAAGGATATGGACATCTTTGTCACAAACTTGTCATGCAAGTCCTCAGGAGGGGGAAAGGTTTCCAAATCTTTCTCAAGCTGTTGAAGCTGCCTTCCCATCTGCTTCAAATTCTTTTCCAGCGTTTCTACAGAGACTAAAGAGAGTATATTAAATGCCTTGAAAGGACAAAATTATAATATATAAAAGGTAAAACAACCTGGAAACAGAGCATTTGTGAAAAACCTCATGATGATATAATAAAATTTGTTACTAAAAAAGTTGAATTTTACTAAGTTTGTTTTATAACTTTTTAATTTGAAATCTAGTTAAAAAGGAAATTCAATAATAAATGCTTTAAAATATAAGACAAAATTTAAGAAATGCCCATATAAACAAACCATATTAAAAAAATAACTTTTGTTTAAAAATTAATAATTCTTGACTACTACAAATGTCGTGAAATAATCAGTCAATTTAGATTAAGGCAAACAAACACCTTAACATATTCATTTAGTTAATAAATTAGCAATCTTATTCTCAGATACAATGTTTAATGAGTCCAAGGACAGGACTTTTCAGAGACATAGATAATAATTGTTTGTACCTAAAAAGTGATGACATTTCAACCTTTAAATGGGAGCCAGCCCAAAGCTATACTTACAGTCTTCTTAGTAATACTACTTCTCAAACAAATCTTTTCTGTGATTTTAAGAACTGAGATGGCCTGGGAGTATAGCTGAGTGGTGGAGCCCAGGTACAGCATTGTGAAGCCCTGACTTGAACACCAAGCACCAATTTAACAAAGATGCAGATACAATGACTTAAGTAATAGATTCCACAAAGTCTCAGTTAGGTGAGCATTTCAGATGCTAATTAGCAACACATGTTTCCTGTGTTACACTCTTGCATTCTATGTGGGCTGGTCATTTACCCACAACTTCAACTTTTATTTGATTAAACCTATGGTGTTTCATTTACTCTTTTCATTTCCAGGTGATTATTTTGCTTATTTCAAAGTATTCTTTCTGTGTTAAAGATTCCTTTTGCTCTCCTAGTCTATTTGACCTCCCCCTAATATCTCATTAGCATTTCCCTTATTATTTCCCAAGAAATCTTACAGGTAGATGAGTTGGTTTCCCAAAACTTTTGATTAAATAATCATTCAAAAACATACAAAATTTTTGTATGAGGCAAATATATGCTCAGAAATATTTACAAGCTGTATATTTACTTTGAGCTATAGATTAATTTAAAAGTTAGGATACAAGTAGCAAAATAGTAGTGGTAATTATTGCTATAGTAATGACAATTAAAATAAGAGCAATAGCAGCAGCTACATTTTTCTTAGTGCTTAAGTATGTCAAGTATTGTCTCCAATGTTTTCTATTAATTAACTCATTTAATCCTCAGAAGAGCACCAGGAAGTAGGTACTGCTGTTGCCCCCAGGTTATTGTGAAGAAGCTAAAATTGTGTAGTAAAAACATCAAACAACTAATAAGGGGCAAGGCCAGAATCATAGTTGGGCAATTTCATTCTAAACCTTATTTTTTAACCAGTCTGCTATCTAGAAATAAATTATAGAAATTAACACTATATTTTTCACAGTGATGTCTCCTTATCAGTATCACCATTTAAATAAGAAAAAATAAAGTGGTTTTATTGGTTTCTCTACATTCTAGCCTAGTGCAACTACAAGAAATCCACAGACAGTTGAAAGACCATCTGCACATTCTGGTGGAGGAGTGCTTGGACATACAGAAACCTATTTTTTTTTTTCCTTTCAAAAAAGAAGATGCACATTTAAAATAGTATCCAATCACTGAATATAACCACATACTTAATATTGTCCTACTCTGCTATCAAATTGGGAACATCCAGGAAACTGGCAAACACAAGCGCAAAGGACTCTCAGGATAAAAAACACAAGACCAGTGTCAATCAGAAACACAGATTATTTTCATGTGTGTGATCCCAAATACACTGTTTTACACTAACTAATTCTCCAACATCAGTTGGGTTTCCTACAATTTAACTTTATTCTGACATGAATTACTCAGAGTTGCTTTTACAATCTATACGCAAAAAACCTCAGTTCCACCAAACTGTCTTCATTGCTAATGCCAGATACAAGTCTGGGACACCAACCATATTTCTAATAACTAGCATAAATTGGAAAATTTCCATATCCATCCACCCTTAAGTTCCATAATTCACTAGGGTGACTCACAGCACTTAGGAATGTGCTACACTTGTGATTGTAGTTTCATTACAAAGGGGACAATCTGGAAACAGCCAAAGGGAAAAGATGCAAAGAATGGGGTGGAAGCCATAGCAGAGCTTCTTCATTTTCTCCAGGCATGGCACCCATCTGCCTCACTCCTGTGCTCCCTTAAACTTTCTTTCAAAGCTCCTATCAAAGTTTTACTACTGGATATCAGTAATTAAATCATTCCCACTCACAATTTAACTCTACAGCCCTTGCCCTCCTTGGGGAATAGGCTGATGGTTCTAACTTTCTCATCTTATGCTTAGTCCCTGTGGAGACCACCTCCCACCGGAAGGAAGGCTTGCATCTTTCCCAACTCTTCAGGTGCCAGTGTGGGTCAGAAGCTACTTTCTTTGTGGTCTGAAGTAACTTGTCCTGGGCTCAATTTCATACATCCATGAAATGAGAAGAGTCCCACCTCATATATTTACCTCACCAATATACCATAAAATACAAAATCCTATAACATAGGACCAAAAAAATTTAAAAGAATGCACTATGCTTTTCTTATTCTTAGAATTAGGTAAGATATTAATTCAAGTATCAAAACTAGTTATACTTGAATCACAGGGAAAATGAAGTTGACACCACCACTACCACCACCATCACATCACCACCACCACTAAAGCAGGCACCATACATCATGAGAATCAGTCTAAGAAGAGTTTCCTTTTAAGACAAAAATGTTAGGGATGTTTGGAACATATTCAAACATTTAAGGTCAACATCATTAATAAGGAAGCTGTCAGTAAAATAATTTGGTTGTTGTGGCTACTGTACAGATGAAAATCACACTAAGGCATTTCTTACGCTTCATGAGCACTCTCTGATTACATTACTTTGGCATTACACTAAAGTGGATTTAAATACAATTGACCAACCTCACTTTGTTGGTTTTAAATAAGGCCCAAAGTACACTTGCAGACAAGAAAGGAGTATGTGAATTCTAGGCTAATAAAATATAATGTTCGAAGCCATATGAAGGGTAAAACTAAAGAGCATTTTAAGAATACACTTGGTGTTTTCTTTCTCAATAATTATTGTCATATACAATTCTTTTATGTATCTTTAAATATAATTTTAGCTGTAATTTTCATGTCTCAAGTTCTTTGAGGTTGGGTGACTTTTTGGGGGGTGCTAGAATTCTAACTATATTCAGGAGGTTTAAATTGTATGTTCTCAAAGAAATGTTAATTTATAAATGCACCTACATGTGACCCATAAGTCATGAATTTTTTTATTCATCTTGGTCACATCATTTTTGTTCTGGAAACTAACCTTAGCCCAGCTCATGGTTTAGAAGTAGAAATTAAGAAAACAAGACTGTCATCAAACAGAGTTGAGTAAACTATTTTCAGGCCATTCTAACTTCTCCATTTTCCTCAGATAATATTCAGTCACATGGGAGAGCTCCATCAGCTCAGACATATGCCTCTGCCCTCAACCAGATCATGCATAATTTCTACAGCCCATCTGGCAAACTTTCAAATTACTTCCTATACCAGTAACTTGCTAGCTCCAACTTGTTTCCCTTTTTTATAACCTCAAGATCCAAATAAGGACACCTTGCTCATTTGACTTTAGAAACAGTCCTTCAATCTTCCCTCACTTGGACACGATTTGAGTCAGTGGGAATATTTACTCCTGATTACTTATTCTTTTCCCCAGTGCCTTCTTCACACTGTATACTGGGTTTTCCAGAAAAACAGTAAGAATTAAGTCATGTCCCTGCCTAAAGCATGCCAGTAAGCTGGCTACAGAGCACATGAGCTCCTGAACAAGCTCCATCCAATTTGGGTGGCTCTACCTTACCTTCTGATGCCTGTCCCTCTCCTCACAGGGTACAGCTTATAATTCTCCTACACATGCCCTACTTTCTCTTAAACCTGTGCCTGGAAATAACCTGTGGCTTTCTGCATTGCCTAAACCACGCTGGGGTATACCTATTTACATTTTATACATAACAAGGGCCAAAACCCCAGCAAATCCCTGATGAAATGCCCCTTCTACCCATAACATCTGGTAATTATCTCTATCTCTGCTACTATAACATTCACATTTATCTTTTATGTGTCTTTTGCTCCCAAATGGCTACACTTCTTTAAGGATTGATACCAAACTTTATTCATTTTTCTATCTTCAATTTTTTGACAAACTACAGATACTACAGTAATGGGTTTTGGGTATAACTTTAACCTCTCATGATGAAAGCATCAAGAATAAAAGAAGAAAATAACAGATTTTTAGATCTAGGGCAATGAAATCTAAAACTCAGACTTTCCTTTAAGTGTTTTGTTAATATAATAATTATGTAATAGCCATGTTAAAGAAGCTTTAGAATGAAAATTAAAACCATAATTATAAATATTTAAGATTAAAACAATCATGAATACAGTTTATTCTAAGTACTATGGTCTCTAACATTTAGAATGTTAAGATTTCCACTTTAAAAAAAAAAGTAGAAATCACATACACTTACATAATTTTTGTAATGAAAAATAACACTCTATAAATACCTCTGGGAGGTGTTGACCATTATTTTATAACTAGTTTGTTAAGAAATTCTTACATATCATGATATAACACAGAGAATTTCTTTCTTTTTTTCTTTTCTTTTTTTTTTTTTTTTTTTTTTTTGGCAGAACCAAGGATTGAACTCAGGCCCTTTCTACTGAGCTATCTCCTCAGCCCCAGAATTTCTGTAAAGAAAGCTTAACATCAGACAATTTAAACATTCAGGCTAAATTAGCCTTACACTGACAGAAACAATTGTTTCTGGGCCGGGGAGATGTCTCAGTAGAGTAGGTGCTTGCCAGGCACAGGGGCCTGAGTTCAATCCCGGTTCCGTGAAAAACAAAAAAGAAAGAAACAATTGTTTCTGTCCATA